TGGCCCAAAACGGCCCAAAACGGCCCAGATCAGGGGGTTTGGTGTCTGGGGGGGCAGCCCCCCCTCACCTGGCGGCCTCCTGGGCTCTGTCCTGGTGCTGCTGCAGGAGCTGGTCCCAGGCCTGGCGCTCGGCAGAGAACCTGCAGGGGACAGGGAGGAACGGGGGGGACAGGTGTGACCAGGTCTGTGCCCAGGTGTGCCCTCTGTGCCCAGGTGTGCCTCAGATGTGTGCCCAGATGTGCACCAGGTGTGTCCAGGTGTGCCCTCCGTGCCCAGATATGCCCCAGGTGTGTCCAGGTGTGCCCTCTGCACTCCAGGTGTGTCCCAGGTGTTCCTTTGCACTCCAGGTGTGTCTTGGCTGTTCCCTCTACACTCCCAAGAAAACAGCCCTGGAATCCCCCTGGGAATAAGTGCCCCCCTCTGTGGGGCAGGTGTGCCTTACCTGGCCATGTGCTGCTTCACCTGGGCCACGGGTTCATCCAGAGCCGAGTCCAGGGAATTCCTGAAGCACAGGGAGAGAGTTGGCTCCAGGTCAGGGGGAGCCAACTCCCCCTTGCCCTGCTCGGCCTGTGCCAGGGCTGGGGAAACCTTTAATGAAGGGGTTTTCCCTAAAATCCGACCCGATCCTGCCCCCAGGATGAGCCCTCACCCCTTGGGATCCTCCACACAGTCCCGGAGGGTCCCATCCTGGCTCAGCCTCTGCACCAACCGCTCCAGCTCCGCCGACACCGCCTGCACTGCGGGGGAAACCAGGGAACAACCAGGATCAAACCCCGCTCTGGAAAACCAGGACAGCCAGAAACCCCCCAGACCCTGCCCTGAGCCCCCCCAGAAGCCATTCCAGGTTCCTGGTTCCGTCGGTTTTAAGGAATTAAGGAAGGAATAACCAAACCCCCGAGGTCGCCGCCCGTCTCGGCGCCTCCGTTCGTGGCTCCGTTTCCTGCTCTTGAAAAAACTTAATTCCCAAATTTTCGGGGCGCCCACCCCTTCCAGGAGTCAGATAATCTCAACTGTGAGGGGATCCCAGGGAAGAATCCCTGTTTTTGAGTCTGAAGTGACCCTTTCTGATGCAACAGTCCCAGCTCACCCTTGGCAGTAAAACCCTCGGGGCTGAATCCCTTCCTCTGCCTCAGGACCTGCTCGAGCTTCTGGGCAGTAAACTGGGGAAAAAAGGGGAGAAAACAGGTTTTTATCCAAGAAAAATAGGGAAGGTCAGCTTTTATCCCCATCTCCCAACAAAGGGAAGTCAGCTTTTATCCCCATTTAAAACGAAGTTTGTGGGAGGAGAAAGGAATCCCCCGTTTGAGGAGCCAGTGATGTGAACCCAATGTGCATTTGGGGAGAAAAAGGGAAAACAAATCACTAAAAAAAAAAAATAATACCTGGAAACAGGAGAGGATGAGCATGGAGAGACGCTCGCTCTCAGGCAGGTCCAGGCTGATGGATTTGCTTAGCTCTGAAAAATCAGAATAAAGTTGGTTAGGAATAATTAAATTCACAGAAAAGGGTTGGAATGAGCTCAAAAGTTCCCAAAAGCTGTTGTTGGACAGGAATGGGGGGTGCAGGATATGGAAGGAGCATGGTAAAGGGAGCAAAATGGGAGAAAGAGAGGGAGAAAAGGAAGAAGGAGAAAGGGAGAAAAAAGTGGAAAAGAAAGGGAGAGAAACGGGAAAAAGAAAAGGAGAAAATGAGGAAAAAGAAAGGAAGAAAAAGGGGAAAAAGAAAGAGGAAAAGTCACATTTAAGGATCAGGACTTGGGGAATAAAAAGGCAGAAGCCTCAGCACAGCATCTCCACTGATCCTCAGATCCCTGGGCCTCCCAGGCCACTTCCCAGGGGGATACAGGCAGGTTTTAATGAGGAGTAACCCAGCGAGGCCCTAACGGGGCCGTGGGGCACACACCAGTGATGTCCTGGTGCACGGGGGGCAGGGATTTGCGGCGCTTGCTGCCCTTGAGGCTGGAGCGGCACCAGGAGCGACGTTTGCCCTGGGGGGTGGCGATGAGGGGGGACAAACTGAAGGAATTCAGGCTCTGCTCCTGCTCAGGGCTCCTCCCCTTCCTCCGGGGGCTGCTCCTGAGGGGGCTCAGCCTCAGCCTGGGGGTGCTCAGGGGTCTCTTCCTGGCGGATGCTCCGGGGGTCCCGCGGTGCTTCGGGCCAGCAGGTGGTTTCAGGAAGGGCTCAGCACCCGCCTTCTTCACTCCAGACTCGGGATCTGAGGGAAAAAGAGGCAAAATCAGCACATTAGAGGGGTAAAAAGTGACTGGGGGATGCTGGTGGAGGCCCTTCCTACTTGGGATTTCCAGGGTTCTATGAGATAGGAAAGGGTTTTCCCAAGGAGTCCAGAGGGCTGAACGTGTTCTTTGGGCTTTTATTTTTAACTGGGAGGGGCAGGAGAGTGCGGGGGGATGAGGGGACCGTGGGGAGAGGACAGCGGTGAGGGGGATGAGGGAACAGGGGTGAGGGGGGATTAGGGAACAACAGTGAAGGGGGATGAGGGCAATAACACTGAGGGGCCCGGGGGGGGTCCCCACTTCGCAGCCCCCTATATCATCCAACCACCCCGTCCCCGCACTCCCACCCAGGGCCCTGAGCCGGCGCCCCCTCCTTTCCCCCTCCTCTGACCCCGTTACCTGCCGCGGCCCCTCCGGGCTCTGGGCGGGCTCCGCCGGGGCAGCACTGAGGGGAAAAACCGTTACGGGGCTGGAAGCGCGGCCGCCCCGCGGCTCCCCCCGGCCGGGCCGAGCCCCTGCAGCGCTCACCTCCCCGTCCGGCCCGTCCGGCCCGCCCGGGGCCCGCGGGGACGGAGGGGCGGCCGGGCCGGGTCCCGCCGCTGCCTCCGGCGGCTCCGCCATGGCGGGAACGCGCCGCCCGCCCTCAGCCCCGCGCATGCGCGGAGCCCGCCCGGGGGGTCGGCTGCCCTCACCCGCCGCGCGTGCGCAGAGGCCGATTGGCGTCGCCCGCTCTCTGCGGCGCGTGCGCGGAGCCCACTTCGAACTTCCCGCCTTTTCCCGCCCCTCACGCCTTTCCCGCCTCGCGCCCTTCCTGCCCCTCGCGCCCTTCCCGCCCTTTCCCTCCCCTCACACTCTTCCCGCCCCTTCCCACCTCACGCCGTTCCCGCCGTTTCCCACCCGTCATGCCTTTCTCACCCTTTTCCTGCCCTTCCTGTCCCTCACGCTCTTCCCACCTCACGCCTTTCCCTCTCTTTTCCTGCCCCTCACGCTCTTCCCACCTCACGCCTTTCCCTCTCTTTTCCTGCCCCTCACGCTCTTCCCACCTCACGCCTTTCCCTGTCTTTTCCTGCCCCTCATGCTCTTCCCACCTCACAAACCTCCGCCTCCCTCCCCCCCCAGCCCCTCAAACCTGAGAGAAAGAAATCAGGAAAAAAAGTGGAAAAAAGAAAAAAAAAAGGCTTTGGAAGTTTATTAATCTTTGATAAAATCTCAGCTGAAAGGGGCGGACTGTTAACAGCAAATGCACAAACCCCCCTCGTATCCAGGGGGAAATCCCGTGGTTCGGCTGTTTTGTGGTGGTTGGGGGTTTTTTCTTTCTTTTTTTTTTTTTCCACTTTTTCACCGGAAAAGTAAAGCCATTAAATTTTCCGACGTTAAATGACACCGATGGAAGGTCCGACCCACGAGCGACGTCCAGTGAGAGGTTTGGTAAAGCGACGTTCTGATTAATTCGCTAAATCAGTTAAGAAAAGCTGAATTTCCTATACAAAATTACAATACAGAGAACATACAATTACAATACGGGGGTTTAACTGTCAGTAACTATTCACCTAGAACGGAAATCCCAGCGTAAAAAACCTGACAGAAATGAAAATAAATCGATTTTCTTCAGCTGTAAAGCTGGAGACAAAACGCCAAGTTCCAAGAGACACTTCTTTTTTTTCAGGTTCTTACCATAAAATCCACGTTTTTTTATTAAAAAAACTGAATTTGGTGAGGGAAATGAAGTTGCTTTAAAACAATTTCAGGTCCCGATGGGGTGAAGAACTCGGCGGTGAGAGGTAGAGGTGTCGCTGCAATCACAATCTATTGGTTTGTTCTGAGGTAATTAATTAATTGTGAGTCAACAATTATATTGGCAAAAGAGCAACATTGACTAATTACACTAATGACCTCTCTCCTCTCATCAGAAGGTCCTAAAAACTTAATTAGAGGCGTCGGAGTTGACGCTCCCCGGGTCTCCGGCAGGTGAGGTGATGGATGAGGGGGTGGTGGGGTCCTGCCAGCTGCCATTGGCCTGCAGGGACATGAAAACACAAAACCACAGAGAATTCACAGCCAGTTTCATTAAAGGCGGGGCAGAGTCGGTGGGGCTGGGGAACAAAAGCCCATCTTACGTCGAGGCGCTGCGTCGTGTACAGGGGGTTCCCCACGAGCGGGTCGTACCTGCCCGTCTGGTGGATGACGTGGTGCAGGGAATCCATCTGCAAATCCCAGCAGATCGGGGCAGAAAAGGGGAAAAGAGTTCTTTAAACGGGATTTTTTTCAGTAAGAATTTCAGCGGGAATAAGAATTTAAGTAACATGTAGGATTTAAATAAGAAAAAAAAGAAGGAAGAACTTCAGTGGTAACTTTAAGTGAGGGTTTCAGTGAGAGGAATTTTAGAAGGAGAATTTTAGATTAAGAACTTGAGAACAAGAATTTTATGAAGGATTTCAAGTTGAGGCTTTAAAGGATAGTAAGGATTTAAGAACAAGAATTAGAATTTCCATAAGAATTTCCAGAAGAACTCTCTGGTTTTGTTGGCAACTGAGCTGTTAATTTGGGTCTCAGTTAATTTTACATGAATGAATCGATTCATCCCGAGTCAAGGACAGAAATCTGGGATTTTCCCATTTCTCTCCATGCTGAAAGTCCCTATTTTTGTTTCCCTTACTGACCTGGGACTGCACATTGGCTCCCACAGGAGAGCTCTGGTAGGAGGTCAGGGACTGCAGGTTTATAAAGGAATCCCCAGAGCTGGTCATCTTAAAAGAGCCAGAGGAAGCTGGGGAAAAAAAAACAAAGAAAGGAATTTTTATTAAAAAAAAATAAATCAGTTTTAATGAGCAACCAACCCACCAAAAACGGTTCTTCAACAAGTCCCACGTGAGTTGGAGAGAAAAACAAATCCCACTGTGGTGTCAAGGGGCAGAATTCCACGTTGTTGATTATCAGGAGGGATAAGTGGGGTTCTCAGGAGGGATAACTG